CAGGCCCGGTTTTCCTGCCGCTCGGTTCCCGCAGGTGTTTCTGCTCCGGGAGTTCATTCTCCGCACCTACTGGCCGGTCAGGCTCTCCAGTCTCGGCCCAGCGTCCTCACCGCTCTCGCAGCCTAGCCGTGCGTATTTTTCAGTCTGTCCCGCTTTTATTATTATTATTGTTGTTGATCTCAGAGAGAAAGGGGGAGGCAGAGAGAGAGAGAAACATCGACGATGAGAGAGAATCATTGATCGGCTGCCTCCTGCACGCCCCCTACGGGGGATCAAGCCCGCAACAGGGCATGTGGCCTTGGCTGGAAGGAACCTGAGACCCTCCAGGCTGCAGGCTGACGCTCTATCCACTGCACCAGACCGGCCGGGGCTGTGCAGCTCCTTACTCGTGAGGACCAAGTGGCGATTTCCAAGCTCCTTACGTGTGAGACTGGAAACCAGAAGCCACCTACAAGGGTCACGTACGCCTGACGAGAATGTATACTTCGCCATTGTTGACTGTAATGTTTTATGTATTCGTTCAAGTGGACTTTTTAAAGTTTTATTGATTTTAAAAAGAGAGGAAGGGAGAGGGAAATATTGATCTGTCATTCCACTTATTTATGCATTCACTGGTTGATTCTTGTATGTGCCCTGACCAGGGATTGAACCCACAAGCTTGGCGTATCCAGGCAACACTCTAACCCCTGAGCCCCTGGCCGGGGCGTGAGAACCTGCTTTTCATTGTTTTGGGTCCATTACCTAGAAGTGGAATTGCTGGATCGTGTAGTCATTCCGTGTTTCTGTACTGTTTCCCACAGTGGCTTACCGTTTACATGCCCACTGGAGTGCACAAGGGTTCCAGTTTCTTCACATCCTTGCCAGCACTTGTTATTTTTCTTTGTGTTAAAAAAAGAAAAAAGAAAAAAGAAAAAAGAAAAAAGAAGCCCTGGCTGGTGTGGCTCAACTGGTTGAGCAGCATCCCATGCACTGAAAGGCTGCTGGTTTGATTCCCGGTCAGGGCACCTATCTGGGCTTCAGGAGAGTGAGGGGAGAGAAGGCAACGATCAACATTTCTCTCTCACATCGGTGTCTGTCTCTCTCTCTCCATCTCTATCCACCTTTCCTCCTTCCTTCCTCTCTCTAAGCATGCTTTCCGGTGAGGAAGGAATAAATAAATATAAATAAGTGGTACTTTTTGATTTGCATTCCCTTATTTTTTTTTTAAATTTTTTTAAAGCATTGTTCTTGATCCTTGTTTAATTTATTGAAAGGAGATGCTGCTGTGGTTCTTGGTTTAGCAGCAACTATTCTTTTGTTTACATAGTTATGGTTTTATTTGTTGTTTTGCTCTATACTGAAAACATAAATAAAGTTTTCTACACTATTTTCAGCCAAGGGTTGTGGCATAGTTTCTTTGTGTTTGTAGTGATATATACATTATCTTTCTAGGATGTCTGGAAAAAAGGGTGCTTGCGTTTCTTCTCAGCACAAGTGATAATGTTAGGGGGTGAATATCCTGAGGAATCATCACTGGGTGTAAAGAAGGTTGTAAATGAGATCCAAATACATAATCACCAGTTGCTTCTTTCTCAGGTTCACAAAAGCAGTCCACCACCACTGAACTCCATCCTCTCAGGAAGTTCAATGAAGGCTAACCAGTCTGAGGCGTGTGTAGGCAACAGTCCCATGGACTGGCACTTATAGACAGCCAATGCCAAACCCATGAGATTTCCAATGAGATACACCAAACCCTGAAGGAACTTCTGGCTTGAACTTTCTAGCATCTTGAAAGTGGCTGAAATGGCCATAAGTGCCTGAATGGGTCGCCAAGCCATCATACACACCATCATCGTAGGAAAGATGGAGATAGTATTGCCTGCCATGTACATGATGAAGAGGTTCATGGGAATCTGTTTGAGGGGACCCAAGGCAATGTCCCAACAGCGCTTCTCCACCAGGATCCGGTCTGTCTCTTGCACGCTGGTATCCGGCACTTGCTTGTCCAAGTAACCAACTGGGTACAGCGAGTCTCCCTGACCACCGCCCCGGTCACTTCGGCCCCTGCTGCCTCCTCCAGGCCCGCTCAGCTCAATGGCCCACTTGAAGCGCCGGCCTCGGTTGGCCACCAGGCTCCCCTGGGCCGTCATGGCACCGGACGCCACTAACGCCGGGAAGTTGTTCTCTTGATTTGCATTCCCTTAAAGAGCGTCTTTTCACAGGCTTATCGGCCATTTGTACCGTATTTTCTTTGGAAGTCTTTTGCCCACTTTAAAAAAATAATTTCTTTTTTAAATATATATATTTTATTGATTTTATACAGAGAGGAAGGGAGAGAGAGAGTTAGAAACATCGATGAGTCATCGATCAGTTGCCTCTTGCACACCCCTACCGGGGATATGCCCGCAACCAAGATACATGCCCTTGACCAGAATCGAACCCGGGACCTTTCAGTCCCCAAGCCGACGCTCTATCCATTGAGCCAAACCGGTTTTGGCAAAAAATAATTTCTTTATTGATGAAGGTATCATGTATTTGTCCTCATGCCCCATCTCCATTCCAAACCCCTCCCTGAGTGTGCCCCCACCCCCCTGCTGTCCGTGACCACTGCTTCGGCTTATATGTTTTGCCCACTTTTTTTTAATTTTTAAATTTTTTTATTTTTCACAGAGAGGAAGGGAGAGAGAGAGCTAGAAACATCGATGAGAGAAATCATCGACCAGTTGCCTCCTGCACACCCCCCATCGGGGATGTGCCCGCAACCAAGGTACATGCCCTTGACCGGAATCGAACCTGGGACCTTTCAGTCCGCAGACCGACGCTCTACCACTGAGCCAAACCGGCTTCGGCTTTTGCCCACTTTTGAATTGGGTTGTTCGTTATTTCCTTGCTGAGGTATTTATATTCTGGATATTAATCCCTTATCAGATGAATATTTGTGAATATTTTCTCCCATTCTTTTCACTCTGTTGATAGTATCTTTTGATGCACATTTATTTTATTGTTTAAGGTATTACAACTAGTAGTACATATGTCTCTATGCACATTTTTAATTTTGATAAAAGTCTAATTAATCTATTTTGATGTTGTAATTTTCTGTGGTTTTGTTAAATTCATGAAGATTTTGACTTGATGTTCTCTTCTAGGGGTTTTATAGTTTTAGCTCCTAATTTAGGCCTTTGATCTTAATTTTAAAAAAATGTATTTTATTGATTTTTTTTTTTTGCAGAGAAGGGAAGGATAGAGAATTAGAAACATCATCAATGAGAGAGAAATAGCCGAAACTGGTTTGGCTCAGCGGTAGAGCATCGGTCTGCGGACTGAAAGGTCCCAGGTTCGATTCCGGTCAGGGGCATGTACATTGGTTGCGGGTACATCCCCGGTAGGGGATGTGCAGCTGGTCGATGTTTCTCTCATCAATGTTTCTAGCTCTCAATCTCTCTCCCTTCCTCTCTATAAAAAATCAATAAAATATATATATTTTAAATGAGAAACATCCATCAGCTGCCTCCTGCAAGCCCCCTACTGGGGATGTGCCCGCAACCAAGGTACATGCCTTGATGGGAATCGAACCCGGGACCCTTCAGTCCCCAGGCTGATGCTCTGTCCACTGACCCAAACTGGTCAGGGCTGATCTTAAGTTTTTAAAAATATTGTTTTTACTGATTTTTAGAGAGGAAGGGAGAGGGAGAGAGAGATAGAAACATCAATGATAAGAATCATTGATTGGCTACTGGGGCATGTGCCCTTGACTGGAATTGCACCTGGGACCCTTCAGTCTGCAGGCCGACACTCTATCCACTGAGCAAACCGTCCAGGGCTGAAAGTGTCATGTTAGAAGTTGAGGTGAGGAGGGTACTCCTCTGGATGCCTCACCTTGTCCTGGGCTTGAGCAGTTCTGCAGAGACAGGAACCACAGCCCAGAGAGGGTCAGCCTCCAGCCTCAGGTCACACAGCCCGGGCTCCAAGGAGCCTGAGTGAGTTCCCACCCTCAGAGCTCAGATGTGCGTGAGGTTCCACCCCAGCCCCAGGGCTGACCCCTGGCTGCCTCCTCCTCCCGACTTCTCAGGGAGTAAAAAAAAAACGCCAGGAAGCATCCATCACAGGCTGTCCAACTGGGGGCAGGGTCAGCGGGGAGGCGACCTCCGTGGGGACCAGGATGCGGCAGGGCTGGGGGTGAGCGGCCGGAACCTTTCCCACCCTGAGATTTTCCTGCGTCAACCCAGGAGGGCGTCCTGGATGCCGCCGGCCCTGCCCCCAACCTCCTTCCTCTCCTGACACAGCTTCCCGGCTGAGGATGGATGGGGAGGGCGGGCCACGGTGAACGGCCCGGCCCAGGAGAGCGGAGGCACTTGGACGGACAAGGTGAAGGGCCCAGGCTCAGGGCGGCCCATGCAGCCGGCGACCCGGGACAATCGGGGCGGCTCGTTCGCTCCCGGCCCCGCTGCCCAGGAGCTGGGCCCTCGCCCGGCCTTGGGCGTGTGAGAAGCCCTTGGCCTCGGGCCCTGCCCTCCAGCCCTTCCTCCCCCACACACTGGGGACTCGGCCCTTCCTTGTGTTAAATAGAAACCTCTTTATTCTAAGTATCGTACATTCCTTAATACGTTGGACGGGGGCCAGACCTTGAGGTGAGGGGAAGGGGGGGCTGGGTGTTTCTGGAGCGCCTTCCAGCGCCGCCCGCCGGCAGGGAGCTGGCGCTGCAGCGGCCGCCCGGCCTCGGGCAGGTCCTCGCTCCCTCTGACTACGGTGACCAGACGCCCCGATTTTTAACCGTTTGTCCCACGGCGCTTTAAAAAGTCCCGATTTTTGGAAAGAAGCGCTGCGGGATGCGGGACAAATGCTTGGGAATCGGGACTGTCCCGCCGAAAGCGGGACGTCTGGTCACCTTCCCTCTGACCCCTGTTTCTCTTCTGTACATCCAGGGGCCGGAGGTCGCAGGCCAGGGGTCCGGGGATGGGTGGGGGGGGGGGCGGTGTGTCAGCAGCAAAGACCGGGCACTGATGGGGGCGCGTGGGAGAGTCTCAGCGCTGAGCCCGGGCCCGGGTCCGAGACGGAGGCGGGGGCCGCAGCCGGGGCACACAGGCCAGCCGGGGCCTAGGCAGCCCCAGGAAGGGGAAGCGGCCCAGGAGGGGGAGGCCGAGGCAGAAGGGCGGGCGGGGCACGGGGATGTCGGCGAAGAAGGCGCGGTCGCGGGGCGGGGCCAGGGCCTCCCCCTCGGACAGCTCCAGGTCCCGGGCCACGGCCAGGATCTCCTGGCGGGCGGCTGTGCTGCGCAGGCCGCGGATGTCCAGGAGGGCGGCCACGTGCTTCCGCCTGCGGGAGAGGAGGGGGAGGTGGGGGGGGGGGGGTTCTGGGCTCCGCAGGGACACCCAGCCGCCTAAGGACCCCCCGCCCCCCGCCCCATGCCCACCAACGCGTTCACCCCAAAACCTGCCTCAGCTCTGGAGTCCCTTTCCCCCTGCGGACCCCATCCTCTCACCAGCCCCCAGCCCTTCCCTGCACAGATCCCCTCTGGCTCCGAGCCCCGCCTCTCCCCCCTGGAACCCCCTCCCCCAACTTCACTTCAGCCATTTCCAAATCCTCCCATTTCCCAGGGACCCACAGCCAGCCCGGCCAAACTGTCTCAGCTGGGATCAAAATAAGCTCTGGTCTTCAGCCCCAATTTACCCCCAGCAGCTCCCAAATGTAAGGTGACCAGACGTCCCGATTTTTAACAATTTGCCCCGCGTCCCCTGGCGTTTTAAAAAAGTCCCTATTTTTGCCAAAAACCTGGACTTTTTTAAAACACCACGGGACGTGGGACAAATTGTTTTTGCTTTTTTTTTTTTTTTAAATTAAATATATTTTATTGACTTTTTACAGAGAGGGATAGTGTTAGAAACATCGATGAGAGAGAATCATCGATCAGCTGCCTCCTGCACCCCTTCCACTGGGGATGTGCCCGCAACCCAGGTACATGCCCTTGACCGAAATCGAACCCGGGACCTTTCAGTCCGAAGGGCGACGCTCTATCCACTGAGCCAAACCGGTTTCGGCGGGACGCGGGACAGTGTTAAAAATCGGGATGTCTGGTCGCCTTACCCAAATGTCCATTCTGGTGCCTCTCGTCCGTTCGGCTCTGGCACCTACAGCCAGGACTTCTCTTCCCTCTCAAACCGCCCCACACCACCGCTCCGATGGAGCCCAGGAGCGCCCACCACCTGCCCACCGCCTTCCCAGCCTTAGAACCCTCATTCCCTTCACCCTCCCTCCCCATTCCCAAACTCCAGCTCCACCAAACTCCACTCTGGGATGACATCTCACTATGGGGGCCTTTATTTCACCTGGAGGCATGATACTCCAAACCACCTCTGCTCTCCCTCCCTCACCCCTACATCCCCTCAGGGCACCCCCCCCCCCAACCTGCCTCAGCTACGGATCATGACCCAAAACCCAGCTCCAGAACCACCGCCGCAGTTCAACTCAGGATACTGAGCCCACATTCACTTCCAGAACCTTCATTTCAGGCAGCTCTGGGGCCTTCAGTCCTGCTCAGCCCACACCTCCCTGCACCCCTGGTTTCGAATCCCCGAAGCTCCAAAACACTCATCCAAAATGTGGCGGAAGCCTTAGCCGGTTTGGCTCAGTGGATAGAGCGTCAGCCTGCGGACTGAAGGGTCCTGGAAAGAAACGCTGAGGGATGCGGGACAAATTGGTCAAGGGCACATGCCTGGGTTGTGGGCTCCATCCCCAGTAGGGGGTCTTGCAGGAGGCATCCATTCAGTGATTCTCTCTCATCACTGATGTCTTTCTCTCTCTTTCTCTTCCAAGGGCATGTACCTTGGTTGCGGGCATATCCCCAGAAGGGGGTGTGCAAGAGGCAGCTGATCGATGACTCTCATCAGTGTTTCTAGCTCTATATCTCTCTCCCTTCCTCTCTGTATAAAATCAATAAAATATATTTAAAAAATATATATATATATGGCTAAAGAACCTCCCACTCGGGTGGACTCCAACACACAGCCCCCAAACTCAGCTCTGGAACCGCTGCTCCCAGTTCAGCTGAGACCTCAAGCTGAGCATCAGATTCAAGTTCAGACACTCCAGCCCCATGCGGCTCCTGGGCACTGAGCCTTCCCAAGGACACTCCACAGCCAGAGCAGTCCATCCTGAACCCGTTCAGAGTCCTCGCCCCGGGCCTAGCCCTCACCCTAGAACCACCCACAGTGCTGATCTCACTCCCTGGTGGTGTGGGCTTCCGTCTGTGGGTACAGACTGACTGTCAGCCGCGTCTGAATTCGCAGGTGGCAGTGTGGGGCGGTGGCCAGGGGCGCCAGCTCTGGAGATAGCCTGGGTTCAAGCCACTTGCTACTTGGTCTCTGCCCACCTCGGGGTGTGCCCGGTGCTTGGGGCAGCGCTGCCCTTTACCTAGGGAGGTTATGTAAGACGCTTTCCTCGGTGGGACAGAAGGACTCCACAAACAAGGCCTGGCTGGCATTGGTACTGCCGCCCCCACTGATGGTGATGATGATGGTGATGGTGATGATGATGAGATGGTGATGAAAAGAGCGCTATGATCCCCAAGGAGCAGAGGAGGAAACCGAGGGTCAGGGAGGACCACGGAGGCCGGAAGCAGCCCGCCAGGATCTGACAGCTCTGGCCGGCAGCGGTGCGTGTGTGCCCGGTGCCCGCGCTGTCCCCGCGGCCCCGGCTCCCGCTGGGCCGCCCTTCCTGCCGCGGCGGCCGCGCCCCCTGCCCGCCGCCCCCCTGCCCGGCTTCCTGCGGCCTGTTTGTCTCGGGCCTGGCGGCGGCGGCGAAGGAGGGAAACAGTATTAATAAAGCCCCGGCCCCGGCCCCGCAGGAAACGGCCGTCAGACACGCTCGCCGCCTCCCTCCCCGGCCCGGGGGCAGGAAACGCGGGGACGGCCGCCCGGGCCTCGGGGGACCGGGGCGGGCGCGCTCACCTGATGTCCGGGTAGTCCCGCACCAGCACCCCCACCTCCACCTGGATGCTGGGCGTGTCCTCCAGCTGCAGCACCTCCGCCAGGTGCGGCACCACGGCGTCCAGCCACGAGGCCTGCGACTCCTGCGGGACCGGGGGCGAGCTCAGGGTCCCCCCACCGCCCGCCCCAAACCCACCCAAAGGCCCCGCCCCAAACCCACCGCAAAGGCCCAGCCCCCAAACCCACCCTCCCAGGCCCCGCCCACCGCCCGCCTCAAACCCCTCCCAGGTCCCGCCCACTGCCCCGCCCCACCGCCCCTCCCGGCCTCGCGTCCTCCTCGGTAAAACCCGCAGAGGACGGGCTGTTTTATCGGGAACCTTTGGGGACTGGAAGAAAAACCCACACTAGAAGCGATTCCCAGCTTTGCATGAAATGTGGGGCACCCCTCACATCTAGTCCAAGTTTGTAAACTTGGGGCGGGGGTTGTGGGGGGGCGAACTGGATAACGTGCACAGGGGATCGCTCTGTGTTCGCAATAAAATTTGCAACAACAGCAAAGTTTTTCGTCCCACGGGCTCCCGACTAAACTCCTGTGGAAGCGGTTGATGAGTCCCTCGGGTCTGCTGACACCGGGCACACGGACAAGCGCCGGGATTTAAAATCCCCGGACGTGGCGACGCTGAGACCCTGAGGCCGGTGCATGCGGCTCTGCCTCTGCTCGGCTCGGATTGCAGCGAGCGTGTGCGGAGGATCCACCCTGTGCAGGGAGGGGCCCCCTAAACCGTTCAGGGGACACGGCCGCTCTGGGGGACCAGGACCCCGCGGGCGCGCACAGGCGGGTCCCCGCCAGGAAGCGGGTTTTACCCCGAGGGCAGGGGCGGAGCGGCCCCGATGGCGGGGCTGGGAGCTGGGAGAAGACCCTCTGCTTAGCCCGCGCCCCGGGGTGGGTGGGCGCCCCGGAGCCGCACTCACCAGCCGCCGGAACAGCCGCTGCAGCTGCGCCGCGTCCTCGCGGAGCCTCCCGGCCACGCGGCTGCGGGTGCGGGAGCCGCAGCGCAGGCGCCCGCGGAACAGCGGCCGCACGTACTCCACCAGCGCGCGCCGGTGCAGCTCGGCCACCAGCTCCTGCGGACCCGGAGACGGAGGGTGTGAGCCGCCTGGGACCCGCGCTCCCGCTCCCCGCACCGAGCACCCAGCGGGAAGCCCTGCGCTGCCCCTCCCCGCCCCCAGCCTCCGAGGGGGACCCTGTCCTGCCTGGTGATACCCTCCTCCGCCCCTACCAGCTCCTAGACACCCCCTACCGCCCCCAAAGGGTGCCCACCCCCGCCTTCGCCCCACTCTCCGGAGCTCCCAGAGGCCCCAACCCAGTATGCCCGCCCTGCACCACACACCCGCGGGCACGCCTCTCCCCCTCCCGCCCCAGAGCGCCACCTAGCGCACCCCGAGAGAGCCGCTCCCTGCCTGAGGGTGCCTCCCCCAGGAGAGCGCTCTCGCCCCCCCCCACCCTACCCCACCCCACCCTGCCCCCCAGCGCACCTGGTAAGGCTCGTCCTGCATCCTGCGCAGGGCCAGGGCCTGCGCGCCCAGCGTGGCCACGATGCCGTCCAGGGCCTCCGTGCTGCTCAGCCACTTCCTGCGCATCAGCTTGCAGAAGTATGGCTGTAGGGACAGAGCGGACGGTGTGGGTCATACTCCCCTCCTGCCACCCCCTTTCTTGGCTGAGTATTCCGACACATGTTCCCAGAGGCTGCCCGGCGCTGGGGCCACAGCCCTGCCTTCTTGGGGTCAGAGTCCAGGGAGGGTGCCGGACCCTGGCCCCAGACAGCGATGACCCGGAGTGTGCAGGGCTGAGACCCGGAGCCCAGGCAGGGGTTTAGGAAGCTCAGGGTCAGGGCAGAATCAAGGAGGGCTCCTTGGAGGAGGAGACATCTGCGATGAGGCCCTGATGATGGTCACTGTCAGCCAGATGGCGGAGGGAAGTGAGAAGAAGGTTCAGATTTCAGACGGCTTGCCAGAAAGCAGATCGGGTGGGACTGGCAAGGCTCAGTGGATAGAGCCTCGGCCTCCGGACTGGAGGGTCCCAGGTTCAATTCCAGTCAAGGGCACTTGCCCAGATTGCAGGCTTGATCCCCAGAAGGGGGCGTGCAGGAGGCAGCTGATCAATGATTCTCATCATTGAAGTTACTATCTCTCTCTCCTTCTCCTGTCCTCTCTAAAATTAATAAAAAAAATATACTTGAAATAAAAAATTTAAAAAATGCAGCTATAATAATTAATTCTCAGGGCCCAATGCAAATGAAAACGGAAAGCCCTTATTCAAGACTCATTAAGAACTTGGAGACAGAGGAGAGAATGGACCACCCTCAGACGCTCCTAAGCAGTGGAGCCCTGTGTGACCTCTCAGCTCACAGGCCGTACCTGGTGGTAGGACAGTCGGTCCGGGGACGGAGCAGAGCACACAGGGCCCCTAGGCTGTGCGAGAAACCCCAGCTTTCTCCTGGGGGCACTGGGGAGCCATAGCAGGTTCTGAGCAGAAGGGGGAGAGGGCCGGGTTTGTGTTTTACAGAGATTGATAGGCGGGAGCAAGACTGAGGCAGAAACCTGGGGGGAGGCTAAAAGGAGAAGGGGGGGTGATGACAGGAAGAATGTAAGGTAGAATGAGCACACCAGGCAGTGAATGACCACGGGGGTGGAGGGGGGCGAGAGGTAAGCTTCCGGGTGAGACCCAGGAGATGGGGGGCTGAAGCAGGTCTCTGTCCCACTCGGCCCTGCACCCCGTTTCTGCTCTCTCATCCTGACAGCAGCCCAGCTCCCTGCACCTCCAGAAGCGGGGCCTGTGGGCTTTGGTCGGAGAGCTGGTGTGAACGGCACAGGTCACTGTGGCTGTAACGTCTGTACGTTTATGGCAATAACGATGGCCAACCCCCCGGGCCGGACCCAAGCTCAGCACTGGTGGCCACGGTCCCATCGCTTCCTCTCGGCCCCTGGGAGGCCTGGAACGCCTGTCCCTCGGTCTACACAGCGGCCCTGAGGTGACCCGCCATTTAGCCAAGGCCCCCCACCTGCCAGCGAGCAGCAGGGCCTGGGACAAAGACCGTATCCTGTTCCCGGCATCCCCACACGCACTTCCACTCACATACGTGTTCATGTATGTGAACACCCAGCAAGCCTCCTGAGCCTTCCTGGGGCCCAGCCCTGGTGGATCGGGGAGGACCCAGAGCAGGAGACAAACAAGCCCTTGACCGTCATAAGCAGGTCGGAGGGCCCGAAAGCCGTGTGGCATTGGGCGAGGAGAAGTTATTGTTCTCTGTGTCGGTGCACAGGGCTCTGTGGTTGTTTGTTTGGAGGAGCCTTATCTTCTGGGGATGCAGCTGAGAGGCTGATGGATGGTGACAGATGTCAAGGGTCTGCTGGGAAAGGAGCCGTGGCCGGGGGGGGGGGGGGGGGGGGAGGATAAACAAGACTGGCCCCGGGCTGACTTGCAGGAGCTGCTGACGGGTCCCCAGAAGGTCATTCTGTCCTCCTGCCTCGCTTTGTGCATGTTTGAAATTTTCCGTAATAAGAAGTTATTTTAGAAACATTCCAACCAAGCCTTGCTCTTGAGAAGCTAGCATTCCAGTGGGAAGAGACAGATAAAAACAAAAACAAAAACAAAACCGAAAGATACAGCACCGGAGGTGGCCGGAGGTGCTTTGGTGATCAAGAGAGTAAGAAGGGAGGAAGGGAGCCCTGGCCAGTGTGGCTCAGTGGATAGAGTGTCGGCCTGCGGACTGAAGAGTACCGGGTTCAATTCCGGTCAAGGGCACGTACCTCGGTTACAGGCTTCTCCCCGGCCCCGGCCCTGGTTGGGGCATGTGCTGGTGGCAACCAATCTATGAGTTTCTCTCACATTGATATTTCTGTCTTTCTCTCTCTCCTCTACTCTCTCTAAAATCAATGGGAAAATATCCTCAGGTGAGGGTTAAAAAAATAATAATAATAAATAAATAAATAAAATAAATTAAAAAAAAAAAGAAGTGAGGAAGGGAGCCTATTTTATATATTTTTATTGATTGATTGATTTGAGAGAGATAGGAAGAGAGAGACAGAGGGACAGAGAGACAGAGGTACATATATTTGTTGTTCCACTTATGTGTACACTGATTGGTTGATTCTTTTTTTTTTTTTTCTTTTTTTTTAATTTTCCACAGAGAGGAAGGGAGAGGGATAGAGAGCTAGAAACGTCGGTGAGAGAGGAACATCGACCAGCTGCCTTCTGCACACCTCCTACTGGGGATGTGCCCACAACCAACATACATGCCCTTGACTGGAATCGAACCTGGGACCTTTCAGTCTGCAGACTGACGCTCTACCACAGAGCCGAACCGGTTTCGGCTGATTGGTTGATTCTTGTATGTGCCCTGACCAGTCATTGAACTCTAAACCTGGGCAAACCTGTGCCCACCAGCTGGGCTGCCCACTGAACTACCCAGCCAGGGGGGGAGCCTCTTTTAAATAGGACAGTAAGGGAGGTCTCACTGAGAAGGAGACATCTGAGTCAAGACTTCAAAAGAGGTGAGGGAGGGATTTCTGTGGCCACTGGAGGGAAGGCACAGGCCTGTCTGTCCAGGAGCAGCAGGGGGCGGGGCGGCTAGAGGGGGGTCAGGGGGACCAGGGCAGGTGAGATCAGGGAGGGGAGGGAGGGGCCGTGAAGGGCTTGGCGGCCACGGCAAGGACTTCGGCTTTGGGCCTGAGTGAGCTGGGAGCTACAGGGGCTTCTGAACAGAGGAGGAAGGTGATCTGAGGTACGACACGGATTGAACCTGCTTTGCAGTCATGTGCCTCACCACACACCTCTCAGTCTCATTCCTACCGGCCTCCCCACGTACCCTCACCGGCCTCTGAACCAGCCCCCTCCGCACAGGAGCCCAGACAAGGCGGGCGGGCTCTAGGGTCTAGGGCAGGCTGGGCTGGGGTGTGGGGGACCTTCGGGGGACTCCACCCAGTCCCCAAGGCCCCTCCTGCTGGTCTGTGGTTTGTTAATCCTCACCTGAGGATATTTTCCCGTTGGTTTTTAGAGAGAATGGAAGGGGGGGGGGGGTGAGAAAGAGACAGAGAGAGAGAGAGAAACGTCGATGTGAGAGAGACACATCGATGGGTTACCTCTCTCACATGCTGGACCAGGGCCAGGGATGGAGCCTGCAACCCAGGCACCAGCCCTCGACCAGAATGGAACCTGGGCCCTTCATTCCTCAGGCCAACGCTCCGTCCATTGAGCCACACTGGCGGGGGCTCTCTGTCCTCTTCTTAAACGCATCCTCCCACCTCTTCCTTCCTGTGTCCCCGCTGTCCCCCCAATGGCCCAGGCATGGCCATCACCCCACCTTTCCCCGCCTGCTTCCCAAACACTGAGTCATGGGCTGAGAGGAACCGGGATGAGGGGGAGGGGTGCTCCCCTGTCTGACAGGCCCCCTCCCTCCCCCCAGCCTCGGCCTCGCTCACCTGCAGCTCCTGGAACAGGAGGTCGGCCAGCACGCGGTGGCAGAGCCGGGTCACGCGGTCCAGAGCGCTGGCTGCCGCCTCCCGGGCAGGCTCGCTCTCCGGGGGCCCCACCCGGGCCAGGCGCTCCGCCAGCGCCCTGTGGGGATCAGAGAGGCCGAAGGTCAGGAGCCCCGACATTCAGCCCAACGGCCGGGACCTGTCTCCCTCCTTAACTAGGCCTTATTCTGTGCGACCCGGGGATGGAAGGTGAGGTGCTGGGGAGGGCCTGGGTTATCTGGGAGGCTGGGGAGTTGGGGGGGCTGTGGATGAATGGGGGTGCAGGGGGTGCTTGGGAGGAAAGGGCTCTCTCTCGGTCTGTTCCTCTCCGTGAGAGTGTGGGAGAAAGGGGGTGTCTACATTCTCAAAGCTTGTGATGCTAAGCATCTATGATTCTCAAATTCCACCCTTCTCCCTTTTTTATTTTATTTTATTTATTTATTTATTTATTTATTTATTTATTTATTTATTTATTTATTGAGTTCAGAGAGGAAGGGAGAGGGAGGGAGATAGAAACATCGGTGAATCATTGATTGGCTGCGTCTTGCATGCCCCCTACTGGGGATCAAGCCCACAACCCGGGCACGTGCCCTTGACTGGAATCGAACCAGAGACCCTTCCGTCCGCAGGCCGAGGCTCTGTCCACTGAGCCACACTGGCTAGGGCCCACTGTCTGACGTGGTAGCGGTCTGTGACCCTCCAAAGCCGCGAGAAGGCCTGAGGGCAGTTGGGCACTTTCTGCCCGGATCCCAGTGAATCCTTGAGTCCCTGTGCTCACAGGAGTTGGCAGATATGCCAGCTGTTTCTCTGCAAAGGAGTGGAGCCAGCCCTGGCTGGGTTGCTCAATGGTTGGAGCATCATCCGTACACCAAAGGTGGCGGGTTTGATTCCTAGACAGGGCACACACCCAGGTTTTGGGTTCGATGCCCCCCCACCCCGAATTAGGGTGCATGCGGGAAGCAACTGATGTTTCTCTCTCTCCCTTCCTCTCTCTGAAATGAAAAAAAAAAAAAAAAGTGGGGCCAAGTGTCCCCCCAGTGGGGACGATGGAATAAAGGCTGGTACCCCAAGAAGTGGGGTACAATTCAGATAGGAACAAGGAAAGTGGGAACTCTTTGTGAGCGAACAGAAAGCTCCCCACGCTGTTAAAGGGGCAGGGTGTGTTTTATAGACTACCATTTACATTTTCTTAAAGGAAAAGGAATAATAGGTATGCCTATATTTAAATATATGTGCATGTATATGTAGGCGATGTGCACACGTGCATATCTATGATGTGTATACAGCATATATGCACATACACATTAATTTGTACCTATTTAGTGGTAAATACACGAGCTATCTCTGCAAAGATGTGGGGACACTAGCAATAACTGGTTGCCTCCAATGGGGGCAGGGGGAAGATGAGGGGGGCATAAGGATGTCCCTGCGTTAGGTTAAATACAAAGGGAAGTGAGAGAAGAAGGGAAATATAAACCTGGGATGCTTAGAGCGGGTTCTGGAACTCCGGCCTCTGGGGATCTGATGACGCCTAATCCTGGTTCCTTCCAGGAGCCCCAGGTTTCATGTTTCTGGGGCCCACACACCTGCCTCTCCGAGATCTGGTCCCCGGGACGCCCTCTCCCCCGCACCCTGTGGGTGGCTCACCTCAGGGGGGGCCCGCAGTTGACCAGGCCGATGGTCCTGCTGATATAGGTGTCGGGTGGCAGCTCCCGGGCTCCGGGGCTCTCATGGAACCGCTCCACGCGCTGCTGGAAGCTGGGGGGGGGGGGGGGGGGACAGATGACAGATGACAGATGGCACGCTGCTGGATTAGGGTCCCCTGCGGGCACTGAGCCCAGCAAAGCCTGAGATCCCCACTGAGGCACCCCTGCCCACCTGCCTTGTTCTTCCCTTTCATCTCTCCCCTCCCTCTGTCGCACCCCCCACCTGCGCCCTGCGCCCAGCCCCCCGTACCTCTGCAGGAACTCTGCCAGCCCCCCCAGGCAGCAGTGGGCCATCCGCTCCCCGAACTCCTGGCTGATGCGGGGCGCTCGCTCTGTGTGCTCCTCCAGCAGCTGCAGGGTGGAGGGGGGAAGGGGTGAGGAGGGTGAGGAGGGTGAGAAGGGGGCGAGGGCCTGCTCTCCCACCGGGCACCGTCCAGCTGGTTCCCTTTCCCCTCCCCGCCCCTACCTCACACACGTCCTGGGCCAGGGTGCTGGGCAGGTCCTCCGGGCTCCCCCAGTGCTCCTCGTCCTCCTGCAGCGCTCGGAGGAGGGCTGCCCGCGTCTGGGCCTGCGGGGGGAGAGGGGGGAGAGGCAGGGTCAGGGGTGCTGGGAGCCTCTCCCTCGCTCTCTCCCACCATGATCCCCCCAATGACCCCCCCCCCCCCAAGCAGGTCTGGATTCCACCAGGGAGCTCCTCAAAAGCTACGTGGGGAGGAAGGCTGGACAGGAAACCTCCAGCCCTCGCCATTGCTCAGCCCACAGTTGGGAGCTTGCTACTAAGCTGTTTTTTTGTTGTTGTTTTAAAATATATTGATATTTTATAGAGAGGAAGGGAGAGGGATAGAGAATTAGGAACATCAGTGAGAGAGAAACATCGATCAGCTGCCTCCTGCACACCCCCCACTGGGGATGTGCCCGCAACCAATGTAATGCCCTTGACTGGAATCGAACCTGGGACCTTTCTGTCCACAGGCTGATGCTCTATCCACTGAGCCAAACTGGTTAGGGCAAGAGCTGGTTTTCAGCTTCCTCTATCTACCTACTACCCAGAGCCATGGTTGCCAACCAGGGGTCTGGGGGATCCGAAAGGTTGGTGACTGCTGACCCAGAGGGTCCAAGGGTCAACTCTCACTATGTCATGGCCCGAAGGCTCTGCTCTCAGGTTTGACAAAAAACAAGTAACAAATTCATTCAAGATGGTCAGATTCTGGAATTCAAAAATTCCCAGGCTCTGGGGTTCTAAGGCAGACACATCTCTGATTCTCCGGTTCAATGCTGACCTTCACCTCAGGGGCTCTGACAATCTAGACACGTTCATGCCGAAACCGGTTTGGCTCAGTGGATAGAGCGTCGGCCTGAGGACTGAAGGGTCCCAGGTTCGATTCCGGTCAAGGGCATGTTCGTTGGTTGCGGGCACATCCCCAGTAGGGGGTGTGCAAGAGGCAGCTGGTCGATGTTTCTCTCGCATTGATGTTTCTAGCTCTCTATCCCTCTCTCCTCCTCTCTGTAAAAAATCAATAAAATATATATTTTTTATTTATTTATTTATTTTTAAAATATATTTTATTGATTTTACACAGAGAGGAATTGAGTGGGACATAGAGTTAGAAACATCGATGAGAGAGAATCATCAACCAGCTGCCTCCTGCACACCCCCTACTGGGGATGTGCCCGCAACCAAGGTACATGCCCTTGACCAGAATCGAACCCAGGTCCCTTCAGTCCCCAAGCTGACCCTCTATCCACTGAGCCAAACCGGTCCCGGCAAAATATATATATATATTTTTTAAAAAATAGATACGTTCACGCCTCAGGCTCTCCCCTCTCAAGGTGCAAAGATTGTGATTCTGGTGGCTGAGGCAGGACCGCTGTTCAGGTTGGAAACGCCTGAGGCCGCCGTGATGGGTGGGGTCTGGCCCAGCCCCCTATGAACCAGGTTCGCTCTCCGTCCTGCCGCCTCCTCCTGTGAGTCTTTAGCTCCGTGAGGGGAGGCTCCGTGTCTGACTTCCTCCCGCTCTGAGATGTGAGTGTCTGAATGCACTGAACCTCCACTGAGTGTCCCTATCTAAGGTGACCAGACGTCCTGATTTTTAACAATAAATCGGGACTTTTTAAAAATGCCAAGGAGCCGAGACCGGTTTGGCTCAGTGGATAGAGCGTCGGCCTAGGGACTGAAAGGTCCCAGGTTCGATTCCAGTCAAGGGCATGTACACTGGTTGCGGGCACATTCCCAGTGGGGGGTGTGCAGGGGGCGGCTGGTTGATGTTTCTCTCTCATCGACGTTCCTAGCTCTTTATCTCTCTCCCTTCCTCTCTGTGGGAAATCGATAAAATACATATATTTTAAAAATAAATAAATAAATAAATAAAAAATAAAAATGCCGAGGGACGCGGGACAGATTGTTAAAAATCGGGACTGTCCCGCCCAAACGGGGCGCCTGGTCACCTTACCCTATGCCCAGCGGGGTGCCTAGACAAGAACACTGAACCTGAGACAGACGTGGTCCTATGAGTGTGCACTTCCGTGCCTTTTGGACAGAACTCACAGTCCGCAAAGGGAGAAGGGAGACGGAAATATCAAAAGGGGGAGAGGAGAGGCCCCAGGCCCCGTGGGGACCCCCCCTCCCAGCAGAGCGCCCCCTCCCTCCTGAACCCCCTGTACCTTCACATCCGTGACACACTCGTCCTCCAAGCCCCGGACGGTGCCGGGCGACAGCAGGGGCCCCAGCTCCCCGTTCTCCAGGGCGACCATGTCCACCAGCCCCAAGACTTCTCTGGGGAGGGGGAGTGAGAGACGGGGGGTGGGGGTCAAGGAGAGGGGGGGCAGAGCAGCTAGCCCTGTCCCCTCCCCATCCCTTCACACCCAGTGCGTGACCCTGGGCCCTCCCTTCCTCTCTGGGGACCGGCGCTGCTCATCCCTCAGAGGAAGTCCCTGCGACGTGGCTCCCCTGGGCCCGGCTCTCTGAGTCAGCTCCCTGATGGATGGTGTCCGGGCAGAAAGAGGGGTCACGTCCAAGTGTGACCACCTGGCACGCAAGGTCTCAGGATGGTCCCTTCACCAGACGGGAGCTCCCTTCAGCCCCCTTCCTGGTCCTCCCCGGCCTCTCCAGTCCGGCCCTCACTCCAGGCCTGTGCCATCCCACCCCTCTGCCCACTGCCCCCCAACCCCCCACCCCACCCACCAGGCTTTTGCTCAAGGATCTTCTCAGCCAGAAGCACCATCTCCCTCCGGGGCGGACTCAACTCCGCTCTCACCATCCCAGGGAGCTGTCAGACCCGCTCCTGCCTCATCTCTCATGATGGCGTGAGAGTGTCATTGACACACATCCCCAAAGGGGGCCGGGGCCATGCCAGCTCCTGCCTTCCCCTTCTCTAGGGAGGGCACCCCAACTTTGTCTGAGGAAGCACCCAGCCCTTCCCACCAGCCTGTGGTTCGCCTGCGGCCGGCTCCCTTTTTCCTGGCGTGGGGAGGTGACCCGGTCATGGCTAATGCCATATTCCATTGCCCCGGCCACCAGAACGGCTGTGCTTTAGACACAAAGAATAGGTATAGATTCCAGGACTGGGAGGGCCAAGGGTGCCGAGTTCTAGATGCTAAAGTTACAGAATTCAGGGGGCCACCAGTGCCACCGTCCTCAGACGGAGGGATCCACGGGGTGGTGATTCTTGGGTCAAAGAGGGGGCGAGGCTTCCGGTGCCCGGCTCCCAGGCTCCTTGCTCCTAAGACTGCAGGTTCGAAGCCTCATCAATCCCCAAGTCCTAAGGTTGGAAGAGTCAGCAGGGCTCGCTCAAGCCCCGGGAGCCAAGAGGGTTCTCGAATTCAAAGGGTCCATCGAGCAAAGACTTGGTTCTGGGGCGGGAGGGGCCCGCGTGCTGAGGTTCTAGAACGGGAGGATCCATGTTCTAACGGTCCCGCCCCGGAAGAGCAGACGCGCTGGGTGGGATTCTAGGCTGCGAATGTCACCAGTTACGGAGGCTGAACGCGCCCAGGGTGTTGGGCTCCAGAATGGATGGTGAGACCGGAGTTAAGTCCGACCCGTTGGGAGACGGTGCTTCTGGCTGAGAAGATCCTTGAGCCGGTGCTTCTGGCTGAGAAGATCCTTGAGCAAAAGCCTGGTGGATGGGGGAGGTGGGGGTGGGGGGGATTGCACAGGCCTGGAGTGAGGACCGGACTGGAGAGGCTGTTCCAGGGTTCTCAGGCGGGAGCTGGGCAGGAGGTGGGCGGTCCTACAACCCCTAGGAGGCCTGTGTCTGGTCCCCAGAGGCCTGAGCCCGGTCCCCAGGGGGCGCCTCCTCGGCCCCAGCTCACCTGGGGTACACCTGGTGGTGCCAGTGCAGCAGCGCGTAGCGGTCGGCGAGCGGCAGCCTGCGGCGGGCGGCGGCGCCCAGCCACTCGGCCAGCGCGCGGTGGTAGCCGCGCAGGTAGACCCCGAAGGCGCCCAGGCCGGCGGGGTAGGCGGGCGCCAGGCGGCCCCGCACCACGCCCATGTCCTCCAGCAGCCGCGCCCGCAGCGCCTCCAGCTGCGCCGCCAGCCCGCCCGGCGCCCCCGGGGCCGCCGCCTCCAGGCGCTCCCGCGCCGCGCGCGCCACCGCCTCGGCCCAGCGGGCGCGCAGCCTGCGGGCCGCCCCGGGCCCCCGGCGCCCGTCCGCCGCCTCCTCCTGCAGCAGCACCTGGCCCAGCTGCGCCACGGCGCCCGCCCCGGCGCCCGCGCCCGGCCCGGGGCCCGCCAGCGTCTCGCGCACCAGCGCCCACAGCTCGCGCTGCAGCGCCTCGTACAGCAGCGCCACGTCCCGCGCCCGGCGGCCGCCGCCCGCGCCCTCCGCCTGGGGCGGCCCCGGCGCGCTCCCCGACGACGCCAGCTCCTCGGCCTCCAGCTCCAGGATGTGCTCGTCGGCCCGCGCGAGCTCGCGCTGCTGGATCAGGCTCAGGATCTCCAGCACTGTGGGCGCAAAGTGGGGTCGGGGGTCAGAAACCGGGGGAGCGGGGCGGGGGCGCGGGGGGGGAGGCGAAGGGGAGGAGGGCAGGGGCGGAGGAGAGGTGTGGAGATGAGAGTGGAGTCTGGGGCTGTCCAGGGGAAGGGGGAAGAGTTATGGGGTCAGAGAGGGGCTTGGGGGGGGGGGGGGCTGGATGAAAGGAAGAGGAAATTGAGGGCTGGTGGGGAGGATGGAAGAGGCAGGACAGAAGTGGAGAAGGGGGTCCAGAGAGGAAGGAGGCAGAGGAGACTGGAGAGAGAAGGAAGCCAAGAGAGGGGAAGGCCCTAGCCGGTGGCTCAGTGGATAGAGCGTTGGCCTGGGGACTGAAGGGGCCCAGGTTCCATTCCAGTCGAGGCTGCAGGCTTGATCCCCAGGAGGGGGCGTGCAGGATCCCCAGGAGGGGGCGTGCAGGAGGCGGCCTATCAATGATTCTCTCTCATCATTGATGTTTCTATCTCTCCCTCTCCCTTCCTCTGTGAAATCAATAAAAATATTAGAGAGAGAGAGAGGAGAAGTGAAAAGGGAAGAGGGGGAGTGTAGGGGGGGGGGGGTGGAAGAGAGGGGATGGAGGAGGGGGCAGGAAGAGGGCCAGGACGGGGAGGAGACAGGTTAGGGAAGGGAAGAGGGTTTGGCGATGGAAGCCGGTGTCTGATTTGGGAAGTAGGTAAAAGGACTAGATAGAGGATGTCAGCCCAGTAAGAGGATTGGAGGGGGAGTCAGAGGAAGTGGGGGAAAAAGGGGCTGAGGAAGAGGGAGAGGCTCAGAGATTGAGGTAAGAGGTCAAAGCCAGGGAGCGGGCAGATCTGGGGAGCTGAGGGGCTAGGGTAGGAAAGGGGCAGACAAAAGGGCTGGAGGATGGCAGGGCTGAGAGGGAGGGACGTGGATGGAGACAGCCCGGGCCAGCGGCAGGTGGAGGCTTGGGCAGGGGGAGAGGGTATCCAGGCCAGAGGTGAGACTTTTGGGGGTGGGGCAGCTGTGGGGTGATCTGGCACCCTGAGAAGTTCAGTCTCCCCCCAGGGAGGGGAGCATGGGGCTGGGAGGCCTTGGAATGAAGGCAGAGGGAGGGTCCCAGTGGCCCAGGGTTACCCCCGAAACCTCCACCCCCCTCCACTTCCTCCCTGGCAGAGAAACTATTTCCTGTCCAGCGCTATTTCTGCCCATCCGTTTCCAGAAGGCGGGGGCTCCAGTCACCCCCTTCTCACCTCCCTGCAGTGCCCTCCCAGTCCCCAGGGAGAGGGGCTGAAATAGCCTCTGGCCAGGATGTGGAGGGCATCAGAGGACTCGTACAGGCTCTCGGGAGTGTCCGAACGGCTGCCCATGGGGGGGGGCCTGGGAGTTGGGATGGGGGGTAGAGGATGTAGAGACAAGGTTGGGGTGGGATTGAATGAAGGTGGGGATTGGGGCAGGGTTGGGGGTTCCGATGGCGGTGAGGATGGGGGCGAAGGTGGGAGCTGGGAGGAGGGTGTGTGGGGTTAGCCTGGGGTTGGGTTGAAATCTGTGGAGGGGGGTGGGAAAGGGATTGAGGATGACCTCTGGGGTTTGGGGGAGAAATGGGGTTGGGGGTGTGGGGGGAGTGATTTAAGTGAGAGCTGAGGACAGGAGAAGAAGGTAGAGCAGGTGCGAGTCTGAAGAGGTTGAGAATGTGGAGGTTGGGGGGTTAGGGTTAGGACCCAGGATAGGGGTGGGGGCGGGGTTAAAAACCAAGGGGGAGGCTGAGTTTGGGGTGGAGGTTGGAACTGGGGGCTGAGGGGGGGCTGGGACTGAGTGAGGAAGTTGGGGAGGGGATGGAATTGAAGGGGGGTGAGGAGATGGACCTGGGGTTAGGGCTCGGAGTAGATGAAGAGGGGAACGGGTTGAGGTTGTATTGGGGATGGGATTAGCAGAGAGAAATGGGTCCAGGGATGGGACTGGACCATTGGCGGTTGCCATGGTGCCGGGCGGAGTGATGAGGTGAATAATGGCAGTTGGAGAAAGAGATAGGGTGGGGGTAAGCGTGAGACATGCCTCAAGGTGGAGATTGGACTCAACGTGGGCTAGAAACCAAAGGGGCGTTCAGGAAGACTCTGGGGTAGGATTGGGTTGAGGATACAGATGGCGGTGTTATGAGTTGAATTGTCTCCCCCCAAAAAACAAACAAACACACACACACACACAAAACAACAACAACAACAGCAACAGCCATGTGAAGGCCTACCCCCAGGACCTCAGAATGGAGCCTTATTAGGAAATAGGCTCTTGGCAGAGGCAATCTAGCCAAAGTGAGGTCATACGACGGGGTCCTGATCCAGTCTGGTGGGTGTTCCTACAACCAGGGAAGGCTTGGGCCCCAAGAGAGGCGTGCATGGAAGGGAGGTGCTGGGAGGAGTCAGGGAGAGGAGGCAGCGGGGGGATAGGGGCCTGGAGGGATGCAGCCAGGACCCAAGAGATACCAAGGAATGTCGGCGAAGCGCCAGACGCCAGAAGAGGCCAGGGAGGAGCCTCCAGGGAGGACTCGGGTCTCCAAGGGCATGGCCCTGCCAGCACCTTGGCCTTGGGCTTCTAACCTGCGGGCTGTCAGAGAATACTAATACATCTCTACCGCCGTAAGCCGTAAGACCCATAGGCCGTGGGACTTGGTCCCCGCAGACCCCGGAGCTCACACAGGTGGGGGGAGGGTCGAGGTGATTAGTCAGGAGAGGAAGGTAGACCTTGGCAGGGACCTGAGTTTAAAAACGAAGCCGGGACGTGGGTGGAGGTGGGAGTGAAGCTGAGTTCAGAGTGGGAGGGGAGAGGGGAAGGGCTTGACGATGGAGAAGGAGGTTGAGGTGCGGATGGGGGCTGGGGCTGGGCACAGGGTGGAGTTTGGAGGTGAGGGAGGGGCATGAGGTCAAGGTCAAGTGTGATACTTTGCAAGGAGACGGGACTGAGGTTGACGCTGAGGGCACAGCAGGAAGAGAGGGTTGGGATTGGGGGTCGGGAGGGGTTGGAGGAGGTGGGACGAGAGCGGGTGATTCATTTGCTGCTGGGCGTAGGGTGAGGGTGAAGGTGGCAGGCGGAGGGGGGGACAGGCGGGATGGGCCGGCGATGGGTGGGACGTGGAGCTTGGTGAGGGATCAGGGGTCGGGCTGGCCTTGCCCATGGAGGCGGGCAGGGCCGGGTGGAAATGGGTCAGGACTCACCTGACAGCGGCTCCTTCAGCTTTGGGGGCTCCCGGGCCTTGGGCGGGGGCTCCGGCGCCGCCTCGCCCGCGGGCACCACCCTCTCGGCCAGGGAGGCGCGCCGGGGCTTGGGCCCGCGGCCCAGCCTCAGGAAGGTCAGCCTCCGGGCCGCCTCCCCCGCCTCCTCGTCCCCCTGGCCGCGGGCCCCCTGCAGCCGGGCCAGGAGGCCGAAGTCCGCGGAGCTCCTGCGGATGCCGGGCGGCAGCACGCGGCCCAGGAAGGAGCGCGGCTGCCCGTGGCCGTTGTTGCCGCTGCCGCCGCCGCCGCCGCCCGCCCGCCGGCCCGGGGTCCAGGCCAGGCGGAAGGGAGCCAGGCCCACCAGCTTCTCCAGGGTGGCGCGGCGGCCACAGGATGCCCCGTTGGGCAGGGTCCCCAGCCGCCCCGGCTCCTCCTCTTCCAGCCCCGAGACGTCCTCAAAGGGGTTCCGCGCGGACCTCATGGGCAGGGTGCCCGCCCGGGGCACCTTGGCATCGGCCACCCCGAGGCTCTTCAGGATGGGCATGTCGCCAGGCGGGGACCTGGGGGAATAAGGGGCCGTTAATATGTGGGTGACAGCCCTGGCCGGTGTTGCTCAGTGGCTAGAGCGTCAGCCTCCGGACTGAAGGGTCCCAGAGTTGGATTCCAGTCAAGGGCACGTGCCTGGGTTGCGGGTTCGATCCCCAGTAGGGGGGGGGGTGTAGGAGGCAGCCGATCAATGATGCGCTCTCGTCACTAATGTTTCTCTCTCTCTCCCCCTCTCTTCCTCTCTGAAATCAATAAAAAATGACAATATGGCCAAAACCGGCTTGGCTCAGTGGATAGAGCATCTGCTTGCGGACTGAAGGGTCCCAGGTTCAATTCCGGTCAAGGGCATGTGCCTTGGTTGCGGGCAAATCCCCAGTGGGGGGTGTGCAGGAGGCAGCTGATTGATGTTTCTCCCTCATCAATGTTTCTCTATCCCTCTCTCTTCCTCTCTGTAAAAAATAAATAAAAATATATATTTTTTTAAATGACAATATGTCGGTGACAGTGGTGGTGTCCATGATGGTCCTTCTGAGTCCCCAGGCGCCGGGCTGAGCACCCATGATGCCTTGCTCCCTCCCCGTCCCATGTGCTGGCGCTGGGCCCGCTCGGCAGGTGAGGACACAGGCTCAGAAGGACGAAGGCCTTGGCCTGACGTCCCACAGTGACTCGGGCCTGTCTGACCCGGGGCCGGGCTCCCCCAGCCCCAGAGCCCTGGCTCGCAGGCCCTCCCCCGCCTTCCTCGGCCCTGCGTGTCTGTCACCCCGGCTCACCCTCACGCTCTGTGAAGCGCAGGATCAGAGAGGGAAAGGGCGCCTCACAAGGTGGCACAGCAGCAAAGGGCAGACTGCTTGGGACCCAGCTCCCCCCATCCCCCATCCCCGGGTCACACACCTGCACTCCTGCCTTCTCTCCCCTGTCCAGTCAGTACCCTGTCACCTCTGCCCCGTTCATTCCTTCAGCAACACTTCCCGGGAGACAGCCACAGGAGGCCGGCCCACAGAGGTGGAGATTTTTTATTTTTATTTAAAAAAATATTTTATTGATTCCCTACAGAGAGGAAGAGAGAGGGACAGAGTCAGAAACATCAACGAGAGAGAATCATCGATCAGCTGCCTCTTGCACACCCCTTACTGGGGATGCGCCCGCAACCAATGTACATGCCCCTGACCGGAATCGAACCCGGGACCCCCCCAGTCCGTAGACCTACGCTCTACCGCTGAGCCAAACCGGTTTCGGTTAAAAAAATATATATTTTTTTTATTGATTTCAGAGAGGAAGGGAGGAGAGAGAGAAACATCAATGATGAGAGAGACTCATTCATTGATCGGCTGCCTCCTGCACGCCCCACACGGGGGACTGAGCCTGCAGCCCCGGCATGTGCTCTCGGCCGGAATCGAACCCGGGACCCTTCGATCCGCAGGCTGACACTCTATCCACGGAGCCAAGCCGGCTAGGGGGAGGCGGAGATTAGTGGTTGCCCGGGGCTGGGAGTCCTGTTGAATGGATACAGAGTTCCCCAGGAGGGGGTGGAAAGTTTCCATCTGGAACTAGATAGAGGGGTCGGGGCAGCACTGCCAGCGGACCCAATGCCAATGAACAGGAGACTGGAACACGGTGAACACGGGCAGGGCCAGCGGCTCGGTTGGTTGGGTAGAGCCCAATCCCGTAGGCCAGGGCCATGGGTCCCATCCCTGGTCAGGGCACCAGCAAGGACAACCAATACATCAGCAGCACGTGGGTGTTTCTCTCTCCCCCTTCCTCTCTTTCTAAAATGAATTTTATTTTATTTTATTTTTAAAAAAATATATTTTATTGATTTTTTACAGAGAGGAAGAGAGAGAGATAGAGAGTTAGAAACATCGATGAGAGAGAATCATCGATCAGCTGCCTCTTGCACACCCTCTACTGGGGATGTGCCCACAACCAAGGTAGGTGCCCTTGACCGGGTATCGAACCTGGGACCTTTCAGTCCGCAGACCGACGCTCTACCACTGAGCCAAACCGGTTTCGGCTCTAAAATGAATTTTAAAAAAATAAAAATTAGGCTTAAAAAAATAAAATGGCCCTAGCTGGTTTGGCTCAGTGGATAGAGCGTCAGCCTGTGGACCAAAGGGTCCTGGGTTCGATTCCGGTCAAGGGCATGGACCTGGGTTGCAGGCTCCTCCCCAGCCGGGGCCCTAGTAGGGGTGTGTGCAAGAGGCAACTGATCGACGTGTTTCTCTCACAGCGATGTTTCTCTGTCTTTCCCTCTCTCTTCCCCTCTCCCTAAAAACCAGTGGGAACATATCCTCAGGTGAGGTTCACAAAACACAACACAACAAAACGAGGTGGATACGGTGGATTTTGTTACTCGTTTTACCACAGTAAGGAAACCCCTCCGAGGTGTCTCCCTGGCCCGGCCCTGTGCAAGCTGTGAGGACGCAGCAGTGGCCAAGGAAGCCCCGGACTCTGCCCGCACCGAGCTCGAAGCTTCCCGCCCATTTCACCTCCTTCGTCCCTCGTCTCCCTCCCTTTCCTGGCTCCCAATCCGGTCCAAGCCCCTTCTGCTTCCCTGCCTGCCCCCTGGTCCCCGGACTCCGGTCTGGGCCCCTCCGGGGCACGGAGGGTCTTGTTAAAGCACAAACCACCCTGCCCTGCGACTGGGACAGAATTCAGGCCCGCCCTGGCCAGCTGCCGCCTCACAGTGCTGTCCTGCCTTATCCGCCTCCTCCGAGCTCCTCTGGGGCTCAGCATCTGCTGGTGTTTTCCCAAGGGAGCCCGTTCTCCAGCTTTACCGTATTTTAGCACGCAGCCCCAACGCTCCCTCCTCCAGGAATCCCTACCCGATGCACGTCCCCCCACCCCCTGCCGACCTCGGCCCAGCCCACTCTGGGCCCTCACTGTCTGGGGGTGGTCCTGTGTCCTCCCCGGACGGTGAACCCCACGAGGACAGGGTCAGGGCTCTCTCTGTCCCCACTGTGTCCCCAGCTCCCGGACAGGCATGTGGGGAATGAATGGGTGATAAACAGGAAACGAGGGACGGAGCAAAGACTTCATTCCTTGTGGGGAAGAGGAATGAGGGGTCAGCGGAGAGGTCAGGGAGGAGCAGCCACGCAGGAGCCCACGCCCGGCGAGGGGCTCGGCCCTGTCCGGGCCCTGGGGAGCCACGCGGGGTGTGTTCCCCGAGGATGCAGGAGCCCGGACAGCCAGGGAGGCAGAGGACACATGAAGGAGCAGCTCTGCCTGCGGTCCCAGCGGCGTCAAAAGCAAACACGGCCCGTCGTGCAGGCTTTTTGAAGAATCAGGCACCGAAAGCCTGGCCCCGGGCCGGGTCCTGCCCTCTCCCGAGGGAACCGGCTTCCGAACGTCCAGGCGACCTTGCACCCGTGCCCACACAGACCGGTGTCCAGAAATAGGAATGTGTGTGTGTGTGCGTGTGAGTGTGTGTGTGTGTGTGTGAGTGTGTGTGTGTGTGTGTGAGTGTGTGTGTGAGTGTGTGTATGTGTGTGAGTGTGTGTGTGAGTGTGAGTGTGAGTGTGAGTGTGTGAGTGTGTGTGTGCGTGTGAGTGTGTGTGTGTGTGAGTGTGTGTGTATGAGACTGTATGTGTGTATGAGAGTGTGTATGTGTGTGTGAGTGTGTGTGTATGAGAGTGTGTATGTGTATGTTGGTGTGAGTGTGTGTGAGTGTGTGTGTGAGTGTGTGTGTGTTTGTGTGAGTGTGTG